AAACTGCTTTTCTCACCTCATAAATGTCCCAGAGACTGGGAATTTCTATAGCGCCAAAATTCCTATGGTTCTAAGGTGCTCTACAAAGTATATAAAAATTTTAACGTTCACAATGTAAAGTATCCAGTTAACAAGTATAAAAACATCACATATGAAAACAATGGCGATGAAAGTGTACATAAAAATGCAAAAGAAAAAAACCAGGTATTAACGAAATGTCCGGTTAAAAAGAAAAGTTTTAAATATATTCTTAAATACATTGACCGTAGAAGAGTTTGTTTTTTAATTCAAGAGACAAAGAGTTCCATAGCTTTGAAGTGTAGACACCATATGCACAGTCACCATATGTCTTTAAGGTGGAAAAAGGTGAAGCAAGTAGATTTAATGAGGACGATCTAAGGTTGTGTCATTATCATCATCATCACCATCATCATTTCTCATCGCGCCAGTAGGCGCATAAGGCCTCCACGCTGTTTTACCTGCACTTTCTGTCTTGTGCAACCGCTTTGGCTACTTCTCAGCTCTTCCACCCAGCTTTGTTTCGCTCTTTCTCGACTGTCCTTCTCCAAGTAGTTTTTGGTCTTCGTCTCGCCCTCCGACCTTCAGAAGTCTATCCTAATCCTGTACAGCAATCGTTCTCACCCTCTCTCCTCAGTATGTGACCTAGCCATTTCCACCCTCTTCGCCGCACCTCCAAGCTTATGTCATTGATCTCAGCCAACTCAACCACTGTCTTGTTTGTCATTCTCTGCTGCCATCTAATCCGCAGTATCCATCTCATGTACTGGCACTGGAAGCTATTTAGCTTCCGTTCATTGTTCTTAGTGATCTTCCAAGTTTCACAGTCATATAGTAGGACCGGTCGAACTAAAGTCTTGAATAGGCGTATCTTGGTTTTCCTTCCTATTCCTCTGTTTTCCCAGACCCTTAGGTCTCATTATCGACAATCGGCTTTCCTGGTCTAATCATGTTAACGAATTGTGTAAGAAGCTAACTTCGGCTATAGGTGCCCTTAGACGTATTAGGCCCCTTATCTCCCAATCTACTGCGGTACTAGTCTATAACTCCTTAATTCAACCTCACTTTGATTACTGTAGCCTCGTTTGGGATGGCTTAAGTGATCAACTGAGTGACAAATTACAAAAGTTACAGAACCGTGCAGCTAGAGTAATTTTAAAGGCCAACTATGGGACTAGCTCGAGCCTGCTTCTTGATATACTCAAATGGGACAAATTAGTTATAAGGAGAAAGAAACATAAAGCAATAATGATGTTTAAATCTCTAAATGAACAAGCTCCAGTGTACTTGCAGAACCTATTTCACGAACGAAGCACAGACTATGATTTGCGCAATTCCTTTCATAAATTGACCTTGCCCAGGCCGCGTACTAACTACTTGAAACGAAGTTGCAGTTACAGCGGTGCTTTGTTGTGGAACTCTTTACCCGAAAATGTGAGAGAAATGAAATCAGTCAGGAAATTTAGAGAGCAAATCAAACATGTATTTGAGTCGTTGGACTCTCACTCGGCAGTCTTGTAAAACAGTATGTCGATAGTTTTTAGTCTAATTAATTGTAATTAGATTTTTAATCTATTATTACTGAAGATTTTACCGAGTTTTAAATAAAGAATCTACCTACCTACCCTCCTTAGTCTCTGGAATGCGCCACGTGCTTTCTGGAGATGGTGCATAATGTCTTTGCTACCTCCACCCTCCTTGTCTACAAGTGTGTAAACTCCTCAACGTCACCAACTTCTTCGCTATCCACCACAATGTTCTCTCTACTACTAGCACACTCAGTCCTTTGTGTCTTACACTTTCTCGCATTAAGTTTGAGTCATACTCTGGCTGCTTCCTCCGCCAATTTCCCAGTCGTTTCGTACAAGTCATTGAAATTAGATGGCAGTAGTGCAATGTCATCTGCGAAATCAAGGTCCTCCAGCACTATTGAGAAATTTCTTGCCTGCTATTGCCTTCCTCATGACCCAATCCAAGCACTGCGCACTCGAAGCCCCCGTGTATGCCCGCTATCATTCTCACCATCTTGTCTGGTAATAACTTCTCATGATATTCCATAGGCTTTCTTTGTGTACAGAGTCAAAGGCTTTTTCAAAGTCTAAAAAGTGCGCATACAGACCCTCTCTCCACTCATTTGCCTGCTCTAAGATGTTTCTAAGTATAAAGATCTGTTCAGTTGTACTTCTCTTGGGTCGAAACGCAGCCTGCTCCTGCTGAAATCGAGGATACATCTAAAGTTGGCAAGGGCTGAGGGGCGGAAGAACGTAAGGGAAAGTTTTGACGTAAATTCTGTTAACTGCACAGTGAAGAGATCAGGAGGAGGTTAAAGCTTTAGGAGACATAGATGATCTGGAGGGAGAACGGCGACATACAGAGATACAGCAAAGAAAGTCTTGGGAATGTCAAAGAAACTTAGAAAGCCATGGATAGGAAACAAAACATGGGAAAAGATCAAAGGAGAGGAAAGAGGCAAAATTGACATTGCAAGATCGGAACGACTAAAACAGAGATGGAGAGAGGAGTATAATGCGAAGAACAACGACGTGAAACGGAGTACTAGGGAGGACAAGAGAAATTGGTGAGACAAGAGGGCTGCAGCAGCGGAAAAGGCCACTGAAAGTGGTAGGAACAAGGAGCTACTCAGCATTACTAAGTCGATGACTGGAGAAAGGCGGAAACAAGAAACAGGTGTTAAGGACAAACAAGGGGTGCTTAGGACTGAAACACGAGAAAGATTCGGCAGAGATGGTGGAGCACTTTAGCGAAATATTAAACAGAGATGAGATAAGATAGCAGAATCGGAAGAGATTGAGGAAATAGAGCTAGGAAGTTGGCGATTACAAGAGTTCAAGGATGCGTTGAAGAGGACAAAGCCAGGGAAAGCGGCTGGAGTAGATGAGGAGTGTCCGGAATTATTGAGAGCCAACATGGAAGACACTGCAAGTAGGCTGACTAGTTGTTACAATAGGCTTTGGGAAACTAAGATGTGGCCGTAAGTGTGGAAGAAGGGACTTGTTGTCAAGGTATGCAACAAAAGTGATGTGCGCGAATGTAACAACTGGAGAGGAGTGACTTTACTACCTTTCATTAGTAAGATATTCCGTTAGATGCTGTTGGAGCGGATCTAAAGTTGTGTGTCAGAGGGTAAATAGCTGGTAGCTCCTATCTGAAAAAATGTGGTAAGTGATGAAGAGCCTTAAAGGTAAAAAGCAGGATTTTAAAGACAAACGTTGGTCAACCGCTAGCCAATGAAGCTCCCGTAGTATCGGGGTAATAATGGTCATATTTTCTCCCTTCAACGATAAGTCGCGTAGGACAGTTCTGGACTCTTCAAAGTTTTTGGATTAGGATCTTTGGTTGTCATATGATAGTTACTTACAATTATCAAGTGTACACGTGGCAAACGCATGCACAAGACGTGCTTTGACACTTTCATCAGATACAAATCTTTAAATACGGGCAATCTGTTGAGTGTGAAAAAATTGAGGTTTTGAAAATAGCTGCTATTTGCTTTTTAAACTGAAGGACGTTTCTTCAAAGATAACACCTGCATTCGAACTGTAGACATCCTCAAGACCTACTGCTAAGACTGTTTTAGGTCGAGGTTGAGATCCTATAACAATAAATTCAGTCTTACTTTTGTACAGCTTTAAGTTGTTAATAGTCATTCATTCGTCAATGTCTTTCATACAAGATTGAATAATTTCGACTGATTGATCGAGAGAAGATGATTCAAAAAACAGATACAATTGAGTGTCATCTGCATAAAGACAACGGCATCGATGATCCTTCTATTTACCATCATCTTGTCACTGAATTTTTGTCTAGCACATTCTTCCAAGTCATTCAGTCTACGTTTTGACCATACGTATACCTGCCAATTTGGCTGCCCGAAGAGGAACGACATTTTGGGGGCAAATTCACGTGTTTTGAAGAAGTATTAAAAATTGGTTTTGCAAGTTTTTTTATGAGTTTACATTTTGATTACATATTTGCACATTGTTTAAGAATTTAAAACAACAAAATTAAAATTTGTCATATAAGATCACCAAACTAGACTGAACTGCAAAAAATTACATTTAACTACATGTCATAATAATAATAATAATAATAATAATAGTAATAATAATAATAATAATAATATAATCATCATCATCATCATCATCATCATCATCATCATCATTATCATCAAGTACATGGTTAATATTATACTCTAGGAAATTTAATTACAGTTAAGATATCACAAGGTTGATCACCGTCAACTATGCTGATAAAAGCTAGAGTCATTCACATCCAGTCCCTCTTAAGTACATCCAACTAAACTTAACACCTAACTAAACTGATCTACAACAAACTATACTCAGTTACACAACACTCAGTTATACAACAAACTGCACTTAGTTATCCGCACCCACCCTCAACATCTCAAGCTACATTCATTTACATCCACTCACTCTTAAGTACACCAAAATTAACTGAACTACAACAGACTGCACTGACTCAAAGCGTGTCTGAGTCATTTGCCATCACTCATTTTTATTACACCCACCCACAGCTAAATATGCCAATCTAGAGTCATTTACATCCCCTCTCTCTTATGTACATCCAACTAAACTGTACCACAATAAATTGCACTCAATTATACCGACTTAGAGTTCTTAACATCCACTAACTCTTAAGTATGCCCAACTTAACTGAACTTAAACAAACTGCACTCAAGTATAATAAATATACTATTATATTATACTACTACTACTACTACTACTACTACTACTACTGCTACTGCTACTGCTACTGCTACTGCTACTGCTACTGCTACTGCTACTGCTACTGCTACTGCTACTGCTACTGCTACTGCTACTGCTACTGCTACTGCTACTGCTACCGCTACTGCTACTGCTACTACTACTACTACTACTACTACTACTACTAAGGCTGCTACTGATGCTGCTGCTGCTCCTCCTCCCCCAAAGGAATTGGTTTCACTGACCCCCAAGCCAGAACTGGGTGGTAGATGAAGCATTTGAGGAACAACGATGTGAGGGATTAACAACATCGTAATTACCAAAGTTGTCTTCCGAAGGTTTTGCACCAGCTTCTCCATTGAAATCGCAAACTTCCAAGGCATTGTCTCTATGCAGAGGATAAGTACCTTTTATATTCCACAGAGATAAGGTACAGTTAAAGCATTCATATCCTTGGATATTAACGAACTCGAATTGGAAGCATGTGCCATGTTCAGTTTGTAGAGTAAGTATGTTACAATCCGTTAAAGATGTTCGTATGTAATCTGTGTACTTAACTCCGTCGGTATCATAGCGGCAAGTAGCTCGCCAGTGAGTGGACTGGGCCCCAAGCAATTCCAGGTATGCTGGGCGGATCAAGTACGCATGCCAGTTTGGTTGATCGTCGTTGGTTGCATCTGCGTCAGTGTAATCAGAGAAGATAACGCCCTGCAAAGAAAAAACTGCATCAAAAATTTATTCATCAAGTCAGTCTAATTTACTGTAATTTAACCGTATCTAATTGTGAAGAGAATAGGCCATTTCAGAGTTCAAAAACTCTCGCTTTCAAAACGAGGCTAAGTGCAAATTAAACCTTCCTAATTTAACGTATTTTTATTTTTATTTAGGAAACGTCATAGGGTAGACCTCGTGTTTCCTTTTCATGATGTATTTTATTTTCTTATCTTCCTCGTTTTTGTATTTTTATACACTTTTGTATATTGTTAGACATCATGAATAAACCAGTATTCAGTATTGTATTATAAAATAACTAAGATAGTACGCTCGCTCTGATTGGCCGAGAGGCGTGTTTGCATGAGAGTATGTAAACATGGATGTGACATCATGTTTTGCTTTTCGCGCGCTAATCATGCAAGCACGAATTTGAAAAAATGTTTTGAGTTGAAAACCTCGACAAGTTTACTTTATTCACCCATTTCCTCGTCGGCTGAAACTTGGAAAATCTTTAGAAACATGCTGTGTCAATTTTTTTTCACTTGAGCTGACATTTTAAGCGAGAAAAAAACCGTATTTTGGAAAGCATCTTTTTTGCAAAACAAGGACTGCTTCGTGTACAAGACTTCGCGACTGGTAAGAATTTGTCTTTTAACCAGTGCTCCAAACAAGAGAGTCTTGCTTTTTTTCTTGGGAAAGTTATTTTATAAAAGCAATAGAGAACTTTGGAGCGTCAGTTGACGACGGGAAAACGCGAGGGAAGGACCAAACAGGACTTCCGGTGCCCAATTTGCCGCTCTGCCATTGGTCAAGCCAGTTGTTTAATTTGCACTCGCCTTCGTCAACTGACGTTCCCGTTCTGTTGCTAAATCAGCCTAATGATGTTGTAAAGAAGATAGATGCTTTTGTAATTAGGATGACTCCCACCATAAACGACCAAAACCTTGCTCTCTGAAATTTGCGTCAAATCGTTTATTCGCAGCGGTCATAAATGCACGCAAGCAATCGCCTAAGGAAAGCCTTTGAGCCTTGGAGGACGCCAAATACGTCTGTGAGAGGATCGAGTTCCTCGTACTCGAAAGACTTGCTTTGCGCTATTTGATCGTGGAAAAAAAAAAACGAGCATAAGTTTAGTATAAGCTACAGCCACAAAGAAGAATCCTAGACGACCTTTTTGCTTTGATTGGTCATTTTCAATCGAAAGCACAGTTGAGATTGTGAAATATATCTTAAGGAAACCTAACGCTACTTACCTTAAAACGGTCTTTATTGGAAAAGCTGAACGACTGAATCAAGTTCCATGCAAACCCGGGCTCAGAGTCAAAGTCACAAAACACTTCGAAGGATCGATTGCTGTCATCAATGATTATGTACAATCCAGAACTCCTTTCTCCTGCAGCCTTATAGGTCTGGCAGCTTTTTCTTTCAAATTCGCAGTGTCTGCCAAAAAACCTTTCTGCACAAGAGCAGTTGTACCGAACGCTCGTGGGCTCACATATTTCCATGCATTTTCCTCCATTTTGACAAGGATTGTTCTTGCAACAGCCGTTTACGCATGCGACGTCCCCACATGACGTCACACTGCGTCTCTGAAAAATTGATTTATGTAGAAATAGAGATGCGATGAGAAATATGTAGATCACTAGACCCAAAGTTATTCATGAGAACTCACAATAAAAAGTATGTGATGAGTGATAGTGGAATTCTCGAGCCGTGACATAATAGATAAGGCAGGAAATTTATTGAGATTTAAAATGTTTACTGCGCTTTTCACAAACATGCGAATTCTGAAGTTCAAAAGCCAACTGACGATTGCGTTTTTCGCTGCCGTCAATCATCTTAACGGACCTCTCAGGAAACAAAACTCTACTTTAACGGGTTCAAAAGGTCACGGTTTGTGATTTGTGATTGGTGGATTTCGATCCGTTTTGTGTGTTTCTGTGTTTCAAGGTTCGTTGCTTGTGATCGTAATTATGATTGACGGCAGCGAAAATCGCAATTGTGAAGGCTGCTTTTGAACTTTAGAGTTCGCATGTTTGTGAAAAGCGCAGTAAGTAATGATACTTTAAAAGCGCTTTAAAAAACTGTTGATTGACTGATTTCCATCACTTATGGAGTCATGTTGAGTGATATTCAAAACTATTTGAATATCCTATTTTAATCAGCCAAACAGCGTTATTGCCGTGTCAAGAGGCACATGTACATCAACGTCCTATTTATTTATAATAAAGCCTGAATTAGTATTCTAACAAAAATGTGGTAGTGTACGTTGTTCAGAACAGGCTTTCCTTTCTCTCCAATTTCAGTGAATATTTAAAAAGAGACAAGCGATCACAAAGTGGTTCATGAAAGGGAATTTGAAAGATCTATGGTCAAGCTTAGGCCTCAAGAATTTTTTGTTTTGGTTGTACCACTCACAGAGATCAATATGTTTGTATTAATATTTAAAAAGGTTCAAGTAAATTAATGCTAATCTGACTGGGAAACCATCATAATATTGTCCTAGAGTTTCAGATTAATTTCAGGTTTGTAGCATTCGTCACCTATTGAAATCTCATGTGATGTATCTCGGTTACTAAGTTATTTACGAATGTTTTATTCTTGTTTCCTCCACTTTTTTTATAACCACACTTCTTTAACTCACGACAACTTCGCTTGGCCAAATCTGTTAGTAACCATGGCTTTATTCAACCAGCAAGAAAGTGCTCATATTCAGTTTTTGATAAATCATGAAGCTTATACCATGGAATTGGAATTTAAAGGAATCCCTCTCTGAGATTTTTGAGAAAAAAAGAAAAGAAGAAGTTAACCCTTCGCGGAAAAACAATTATTGAATTATTTTCTAAGAGATTGATATTTTCAGTTTTACCATGAATCTTTTCAAACTGAACCTGGATATGAATCAAATTTAAGACCACATAAGAGCGTTCGTTTAACACTTAAAATTATCCTTCACTCGGTGCCATTTGAACATTACCCCTATCCATAATACCTTTTGGCTGAATTCCCTTCGAAGGTTGTAATAACTTGAACCCGGAGAATGTTTGAGAGAGCTCTGGTTTATAAAGTGGCTGCCTTCATTCAACTCGCAAACTTTTTCTTCGTTTTTTTCTTTGTAGTTGAACGACAAACACCGACAGTCATCTACACACGAGCTGTGGCAATAAACTGGGTTTATCGTTGGAGACTTGTGAAAAACATGGTCAACAAACTCTGAGTTCTGTACAGCATCTCCGTAGATATCGAGGGCATAAGTCTGACACTTTCCTTCTTTGCAATGGTCATTAGCTGTGACAAGCTTCAAGAACACTACAAGTTGTAGTAGAAAAATCATCGGAATTCTGGCTACATTCATGTGTCTGGAATGGGTTTTGTTCCTTCTGTTTCACGCTTATTTCATTCAAGCTGAGTAGAATGACACACTCTGACTTGTCAGCGTCACCTTAAAAATCTCAGCTTCCTGGCGCACTGCACCGGCCGTTGGTTACAAGCTGAAGTTTACCGAACGTTTCGAGAAACATCAATTTATTTCTTAATGTTTACACTTGTTTCATGACTTTTTAATGGACTTTATTATCACTTGAAAGATCATTGGACTTGTGTACAGAATGAAGATGATGTGAACTGCCGAAATACAATAACGAGGTTTTGATCGCCGCGGTGGTGACTGCAATTTAAGCAATTGCAAATTAACCAGAAAAGAATTTCGACGGAATTCGAACCCATGGCCCTTGGCCTCCGTATGTAAGTTAGGCAGTTCCAAAAACAAAGCCTTTAAAAAATACTTACCAGTAAGCTTAAGCGGGATTTGAACCCATTACCTCTGCGCGACACTTGGGTATGATGATCTTTATTGAGCAATCCAACCAAGGCATCAGCTTGATATCTTATAGTTTACAGCGCTTAAATGACATCCGGAGATTGACTGCATTTTGAAACTCACCATGTTTTAAAGGACAGCTGTTCGACTTGTATTTGTTGTCTGAAACAGCATCTTTAAAGATATCGAGAGAGGCCCGTGTATACCTGCATGATTTTCTTTCCTTTTGCAATAAAAGAATTAACATCTTCTAACAAAAGTATTGTAACCTAAATACATCATTCAGGATAGCCTTTCCCTTCATTTTAATTTGTACCTTTAATTCATTTTTATATCCAATTGAAATGAGACACACATATCATGCAAAGTGATAATAACTGAAAATTTATTAAAAGAATTGCTGCAGTAAAATCAATACTGAATTGGTGAGCTTAAAAATTTACAAGACTAATTTGAATCAAAATATACTATAAAAATGCTACTAATTTACCTGGATATTGAATAATAATAATAATACTCGTAAAAGTTTACTTAAACTATCTAAATGTAAAAAAATGAATCTGCCCTCTTGGTCCTACAAGTAATTGAGCCATTAAATAGAAGAAATTTCTGGAGATTTAAATAGAGGATGGTCCCTAGAGAATACGGTAATAGGGGATAGAACAGTAAACAAACGCAACGACATAAACTCCGAGAGATTTGAGGTTAATAAAGGCTCAAGTAGTTTTTTTTTTCATAGAGCGCGAAATGCTAGTTTCTAACATAAAGGGTTTGATGAATTGAAGCGAGTCTGAGAAACCCCACTATCATAATATTGTTTTATTGTTTATTGATTGCCTCTTGTTTTGCAGTATTAGTCACGTGTTGAATTCTCCAAGGTAATTAATTATTAATCACTCTTGGTTACTACTTTATTTATTGTCTCTGTGATTCATATTCTGTTACTGAAACTTCTCAAACTGACCACCGTTTGTCTAGAAAATTGAACTTGGCGAGTACATGCTGAGCCTCAAACTTTTTTAATTTTCTGGATGTGACTTAACACAAACAGTCATTACATGACATCTTCATTCCAAACGAAAAAAAACTATGCTTCTAATCTACAAACTGATGAAAACATGAAACATTAATAAAACCAAAAATACATTTTCATTTGATTACTAGATAAGGATGAAACTTGTACTGAAAAAGTGAAAAAAAGTCTGACTTATAATACACGAATCCTGTTCAAGTCCGTTCACTGAACAACGTCTGTCAGCGGCCGGGTAAAATTAGGCTTAGCAGTCGTCAAGATTTGGTCCGAGTCACATTGCTGTTAGCTGGTGGTGTCATAGCGGTGTTTTGGGTTATGGTTGATTGTTAAGGTTAGCAAGTCTGTGTTCTCAAGTGGACCTGTGGACTGAGCAGGGTCAGCTTGTGCGGCAGGCAGGTTTCTTGGGCCAGGCTCTTGAACTGGTAGACAGTCCCTTTTAGACTGAATTGCATCACGCAAGTGGATTAGGCTTCTGCGATAAGTGGGTCCATTGACTTCAACCAGGTAACTAAGAGGGGCTATACTCTCTAGAACAACTCCAGCCTTCCAGTCGCTACGGATGTTCTTTAACTCGTACCGGTTGCCAAGTTACTAGTCAGAGTAGGTAGCTGCTTGGCACCATGGTCATGGTATTGCTTAGCTATTTGTCTCTTGCGCATAACCCCGACCAGGGCAATCGATAAAAAACCGGTATCGGAAAACCAATAGATAAATCGATAAATGCCGATAATCACTTTTTGATTGATATCGATTGTATGGCCCGGGTTAGAGTAGCCGCACTGTAACGCTGATCAAGTCCTATTTAAAACGAATATGACAGATGTTTTACACGACTGTAAAAAATCCGAAGTTAAACTCATTGTATTTAAAGAACATTTGCCCAACTATGCCAATACCGTGACGGTAACTTGTCTGCAAAGTGGAACACAAAACACACGTTTTCTTACCTCGATTTTCGCTCATATATTAAAGCTGATGCTCCGTTTTCTTCCATTTTCTCTTAAAAGTACGTTTCTTTTCGAAATTCATCGCTAAAAAAGTCTCTTGACTTCTAAAACGGCCGCGAAAACATCCCGGTCAATTTTCAGTGGCAGTCACGGGATGGCGGTATTGTTTACTCGCTGCTTTGTTGCTTGGCAACTGTGTCTATCAACCAAACCGATAGAAATACAGTCGACTTTCGGTAACTCGAACGAACCCCCGATAACTCGAACTCGAACTTTTTTCTATTTCCCTTGAAGGTTCGAATTATCGGGAGTCGAATGTATGACCAAAGCGCATGAAAGCGAGATAACACTTCGCTTAGCAAGCCTCATAGGATTCACGTTCGAGGTCTCAAAATAGGTTGCCTGGAAACCCACAATGCACCTTAGCGTCCATCTGAATGACGTGAAGGCGGACACCAACCAAACGCGTTAGGAAATATAGCAAAGAGCCGATCACACCTCACTTATCTCGTGGGAGTCACGCGCGATGCGAATTTTGACAAAATTATTAACTAGCTTCGCGAGGAATACATTTTTTATTACTAAATACAGCTATTGAGGCGGGTAACACCCTCGTTTTTCGCCCCGCCGCTAGAGCGCCCCGCAGGCTAGCACAAAGACGTTGATATTGTTGATGTAATAACACGGTTTGTCCATCTGAAGAGTAGACGTCTGCATTTCCCTTCGTATTCATTTACTGAAAATGCTGAAAACGCAAGAAGCGGCATTTTCAAGATCCTATTTGTTTTTCTGGGGAAGTATGCCCCTACACCCACCTTGTTTGGAGTGCCTTTGGCTCTGTAACTTTTCTTCCAGTGCGTACACCTTCAAAATGTCACACCACGCCCCTGCATGCTGGTTAGGCGGACGATATTGCAAAGAATCCGCAGATCCACGGCTTTATCATTTTTGTTACTGGACTTACTCGAAAAGCCTGGAAAAAAGCGTATTGAAATTAGTAAAGCTGCCAAGCTGGAAAGTCAAAAGGTTCAAACTTATTGCACTTAATACGTATAATAAGACGCTTTGTAAGTAGGTGGGAGGGGCGGTTACGGGCAAATTTGTCCCTTTACCATACAATAGCCCGCGTTGAAGCCGGACTTGTCACTAGAGACCCAGATAGAGAACTCGATACATAGACTGCCTATATCAGGGATTTATAGACAGTCTGCGAGGCAGGCTACCATAAAGACGTCCGTAAAAATTTCCCGACTTTGCGAACTATACTGAAGCTGGTGTCACTCTCAAACTCGGCAAGTTTATTAACCCTTTAATTTAAGCCCTAAGAGTGATCAGCATCAAATTTCTCCTTGTAATATCAATGCTTTGTAAAACGGAGTGGTCATGAGAATTACGGAGGTGATCACAAAAGATGAATTTGCTTGATATTTCTTCAACTTCTCCGCACTACTTCTGTAGGAAATGAATAGGAGCAACAAATGAGAATTCAAATTTTGTTCTTAGGGACTAAAGGGTTAAGGTTCTTTCTCTCGAAGAGTCGACAAATTTCCTCTACCTAACCCTTTTAAGATGCAAGCCTTGCACGGTTTGACCTGTCGGTAATAATTGTAGACTTTTAATTCCCAAAACGTGGTTATTTACGTCAGGATGGCGACAGTCAATTGTAACACGGGGTAAATTGACGTGTGGAGGGACGCTAGGCATATACGTGCTGTTTTAAGGCTTTTAGAGTTTTATTTTTAATTATTTTTAAATTACCTCTTAATGTAACCTAGAGTGCTGAAAAAATGCAAGAACGAATTTGATTGTTGTACATCAAACAATTTGCTTGAACTCGCATTTATTTCAATGGCATCATGAGGTCGCCGAAACGTCGAGACATTTAAGGTGACTCGACCCAGTTTTTTTGGGTGGGTACCATCCTACTTTGAAGCTCTCTGGTATCCCCACCTTTACTTTTATCGTAAGTCTAACACACAGAATGGATAACATATAGATCAATCTACAATATAACATAAAATTTTTGGCGATCGGAGTAAATGTCACGTGGTTATAATGCCACGCCCCTTTGAGGTCTGAGTCGAAAATC